AGAGTAATAGCTTGCTTTTCTCTCTGTGTCTTTTTCCCTCCCCATCCTTATCTCTGTCTCTCTCTTTCCCCACTTCTAGCTTCTTAAATATGAGATCCATTAAAGTAATTTAGGAGTGTATCAGATGCTTTATTTTTTATAAGTATTACATTATGAGACAATGGTCTGGGTGGGGATTGAAACTGGGCATCTAATAGATACATACTTGCTGCAGAACAAAGGATTTGTTCTTCAAAGATTTGTCCAGTCTGACACAACAGTGGCTCTGAAGTGAGAAGTCTACCCAGACAAATGAATGTGGTGTGGACATTGGTATTTTAGATCTCCTTAATATACACAATGTAAACTATGTTAGAAGACCAGGGCATTTGTGATTTATATAATGGTTGTCTCATGATGTTATTTATAATGGAAAACCCTGTAGTTTTACTTGCTCCTAGCTAACTCAAAATCACTAATTTTGAGGTATCACAAGTGGGTAGTACATTATCTCCCAGTAGATACTTCTACTGTGCAGTAATGATTGTAAGTTACCCTGAAATGACAAAAACACTAGTTTTATTCCTTTGTTTTTAATAAAAATACAATAATTATAAGTAGGATATTCATTATGGAATTCCCATACATGCAAATGATATACTTTGATCATGTTTAATCCCTATTACCATTCCTTATTCTTCTTTTCTACCCCCCTCCACATTCCTAATAGTTGCCCTTTCTACTTTCTTGTACTTTCCCCATAGAGATTCCACATGCCATATTTTTGTCTTTGTGAGAATGTTAAAGACAATTTTGCTGAAACTACTGACTTTTCATTTGGGCCTGGTGATGATGAATGGGAGAATGGAACAGGGTGAAAAGGCTTATCTCCTTTGTTCTTAAACTTTGTTCATTTTGCTCAGCTACATGCTGATCATTTAAGAAATGTTTTGCCTTAGAGTATAATACATGACTAACTTGACTCCTCTTCAAGGTCAACCTTCCTCTTCAACAAGGTTAGAGACACTTATCAGCCGCAAGCCAGATCATAAAAGGAGTGAAAAGAGATGCCATCCAAGTTCCTGAAAGATTTTCACCTGTTCCCAGAAAAGACATGAATGTTCCTATCCTTCATAAGCCTGTCTTTCTCCCTCATCATTCCTGCTTGGCATCTTTAACCCTCAACACTCTGGGGTTCAGAAGCAAATTCCCTCTCCTCCATTCTTTGACCCTTAAACAAAGCTCTTTTTGCTCCTAATACTGTCTCTTGTGTCACTAACCTTATGAAATGGCAGTAAGTCTAGCTCTTTTCTTGGTTACAGTGCGCTACATTTAGCTACTTTACATATTCTTAGACATTCAGATTTTATCTCTGTGACTCATTTGCTCACATTCCCTGCCAAATTTTCTGTTGAATTTTATTACATTTTAAAAATAATTATGGATAGTACTCTTTTTTGAGCAATCAGTGTAGTTATAAATAATCATATTTTCCTTTATCATTGTGTATGTATGTTCTTCTTCTTTAAGCAATTCTTCCATACCTAGATGTTGGCAAGATATCTTTAAGTATTTCATTCTAAAACTGTCATATTGAAAGTAATTTTTTTCTCTAGATGTCTTAAGGTAAGGATATAATTTTATCTCTTCCTTGTGGATATTAAAAAGTCCTATTCTTTCTCCACATTTCAATGCCACATAGATCATGTACCAAGCTATTGCATATTGCTGTCTATTTCTAGGCATTTATAACACTGGCTTCTTTGTCCTGACCATAACACACACTATTTGAACAGTGATAACTTTATAGAATCTCTGCTATGATGAAGAAAATCCTCTATTTTATTTTGCATGCTGACTCTTCTCTTGGCACTTCTTCACTCTTCCAAATGAGCTAACATCTGCTCATCAAGTTTCATGAAACTTGAAGTGGAAACTAATCTGTGTCCCTGATAATCCTTTCCTATTTTCTGCTGGACATATATTTGGACTAAATTTCCAAGTCATAAGATTGGTATTAATTTGATTTGTAAGCAGAAATTCTGTATACTATCCCTAGGCTAGCATATAAAATTGCCTATGGATGATACTCCAAACTACTTTTGCTTCCAGATAGATGCAGATATCCCAGAGAACATGTGGCATCAGGGGTGAGTCCCAAATTAAAGCTAGGAGGAACCCTCATTTTGGACATAACAGGACAGAGAAACAGAATTATGTCTGAACGTATATGAAGTCACTGATGTTTTACCATTTATCACAACAACTGGCTCCCAAATAAACACAGAACTTTTGTAGGGTTTTAGTTGGAATTGTATTTGAAGGAAAATCACAAAATAAGACAATTTTCCATTTATATAGTACACTATATTGATTAATATTCTCTATTGATTAATTTGTCTTTCAGGCTTTAAATAGAATTCATTTTTTCCCCACAAAAGTTTTATGTGTCATTTTAAAGATTTATTCTTTTTACAACTATTGGTTTTCTCACAATAGAAAATGTCTTTTTTCTTCAAGTTTCCCAGGGCTAGTGATGTGGCTCAGTGGTAGAGTGCTTCCCTACCACTGGGCTCTGGCTTTCATTCCTAGCACTGTAAAAAAAAATTTGCTGAAATACAGGTATATATGGGATTTTTATTTTTAAATGTCTTTAATTTATACATACTACAAAATTTAACTCCTGTAACAAATACTGTTTGAAGAGTCTTAGTAAATTATACAATTATGGAGATAAGATCACAATCATTCCTATCACCCCAGAATATTCCTAGTACTCTTATGCAATTACTTTCTACTCTCTCTACCAGCACCAGGATCACTAGGCTGTTTCTGACTCTAATATCTGCCTTTTCTAGAAAATACTACAAAAGGACTCATTCCTGTATCTTCTCTGGGATTTTGTATATAATCATAATATTTATGAAAAATTATAGTTTTCTTTCCTCTTTTTCAGTGCTTTCAACTTTAACTTCTTTTCATTCTCTTTCTAGTTGTCCAGTGGTTACTCTTGAATTTTTAACATATTCACTTAAAAATCTGAAATTAATGAATAACTCAGGATAGGAAAAAACAAAAAGCCATAGCCCTTATTACCCATCTCCTATTTCATATCTTATATGTGATCAATGAAAAATTATGATCAAGGATGTTTTAGATTTACTGACAGACTTCCTAGTTTCTTTCTTTGCTCATCATTGCTTCTGGATCCAAATATTTTTCTTCCCCAAGCATCTCCTTTTGTAAGTTATTTATCTGAAATTGTCTTCGTGCCCTCAGGAATGTGATCTGAAGTATTACAACTCTTTCTTGTCTCAACCCAAAATCTGGGCAGAAGGGGTTTCTCTGCCCACTGATCTCTAAGCCATTATCATTTTTATTTCCACAGATGACACAGATGTCAATTTTGCTGTCCCTTGGTTACTTCTTGTCCCAGCTACTACTACTGCTGCTCTTGTTATCCTGCCACTGTTGCTTTAGCCTCTGCTGAGCAGGCCTAGTTAGCTACTATGGGAATATGCTAAATGGGATCTGCTTACTGGCCCCTCTGCTGCTCTGCTAATTGGGAGACAGCTCCAACTGCCCCTCCTTTGTACTAGCCTGCACTGCCATTTCTTGTCTTCTTTCCTTTTTCTTTTTACCAGCTCGGCTGCTTTATTACTAGGGAAAATCAAAACTAGGCAAGGAAGTCCACTTGAGGGAAGTCTTTTCTGGACTTGCTGCTGTAACACCAGGGGGCAGCACAGGAGAGTGCCTCCTGGCTGCTCATGAAATGAACTGATCAACTTGCATATATAGGCAGAAGGGGGTTGTAACAAGGGTGTCTACAGCAATCATGGCAGTCCCTTTAGACAAAGGAATGGTTATATTTGCACCAATTATGGCACAATCCCTGTCATCAATTATAGGTTGTCAAGGGCCATCAGGGAAAAGAAGTTCTCCCCCTGTGGCCTATGAGAAGTTCCTGCTATGGTGGTCAAAAAAAAAGTCTGGTACAAGGTAACTGATGTGGCAGTGCCTTCTGGAGTTGGAGTCATGCCTCAAAGCTGGTATTAGGGCAATCCATCTGAATGGCTGGTAATCCTTCACTCAATGTAGCCAGGGCACTGAGAAAGGATCTAATAAAGAGTCAGCTTTTTCCAGACCCTAACATCTCAGACATTTAAAGGAAAACTAAACTTTCAGAAATGTGCTTCCAATAAAGTCTCATCTGCAAAAGGGCTTTAAAAGTACTTAACAGTGCTGTAACAATGCTTAATTCCAGCCTAGTGCCTCAGGGAGTGGTGGTATGCATACCATCTGTTTCATATCCAACTATGGAACCCTAACGTAGAGATTGGTAACTTGAAGATTAACTTTGTCATTGACACTCAAGTGCCAAACATTCCCTGAAAGACAAAATCATCAGTAGATCCTAAAGTAGCCAACAGATTGTATGTTGAGACTCTATTAATTAGCAGTTTTCTTTAATATCTTTTCAATATACCGTAACTCCTTTAGCCTGAGTCATTGGCTACATGCAACCCACTGCTTCTCCATTAGTTCCATTTTGGGACATTTTTGGATTTCACAACTGAGGAAAAAGAGTTTTACTTGCATTTAGTGTGATGAGTCTGAGGATTCCATAAAACATCCTGAATGCAGAGCTTCCCTTACTGCCAAAGAACTCAATCCAAAATGTCAACAGTGTCTAAAATGAGAATCCTTACACAGACTCACAAATTATTATGTCTTTAAACTTGGATATCGTTCTGTGTCTATTAGTGAGATTATTTTAAGATTGTCTTTTAACTTGGAGTTGGTCGTGTTTATTGATACATGCTTGCAAATATCCTATTTTTCCCTACCTTTGACTTTGGCCAATATAGAAATAAGTTTGCCTGTCGATTTCAGGAAGTGAAAACCTTCAAAGAAATGGGCTTACAGAGTAGGCAAGGTTTCAGAAACACTCAGAGAAATCAAATCAGTGTTTTATTTTAAATGAGGAGGTGTACAGTATTAAGTACATGTAGGAAATTTGAGAAAACAATTGGCAGACTTTTCAGACACAGAAGCCCTCAGTTTAGATCGTTTCTGAACTTTGGGGCACAGCCATAGGTTGCACTTTGTTCCACTGTTTCAGTGAACATGCTTCATACAGGAACATGATGGCAATAAAGAGTGAGAGGCTGGATGTTAGGATACCCAGTGGGAACACATGGGAGAAGTGTTTCTTTGTCAGGGCTTCTTTTTTAATGGGAAATGAATCTGGAAAGTCAAGGGTGGTGTGGCCATAAAAGTCCACAGAATAGTTCCAGCTCACAGCACCCACTGTACAAGCACTGCTGAGGACAAGAAAGAAGACAGAGATATTATAACAAGATCGAAGGAAATCTGGGTATGGGTCTTTGATCCAACTAACCATAGTGGCCTCTGTACTGAAAATCAGAACTACTGACTTCATAAAATTAGCCAACAGTATCAGGTCTTGCCCATAGTAAAATTCAGGTGAAATGATCCAACTTGCATTGATACTGCTGTGTATTGGCAACTCAATCATTGAACCAGAGATGTTAACCTTTTGATAATAATAAGCTTCCCATAGGCCAATGAACACAAACTGGACAGCATTGCTTTTGAATTCCCACACACGCCAGGATCTGCTGCTTGCTAGACTTAAACCAACAGCCCAGGCCGTATAACTGCAAAGGAGGCCGATCAGTTTGCAGGTCCAGTGCTTCATATCAGAAAAACTGAAGACAAGTTTGAGGAGTCACGGAGTCAGGCCAAGAACAGCAGAGAAGGGATGAGAGGGGGAGAACAAACAGCATGGACATGGTTTAGACAGTGTGAAGTATTTACATCTATTTTGACTGAAAGCTATATTTAAAGCATTTCACATACAGATCAGTGTTCTAAACATAAGAATAAAAGAAGCATAGAAATTCATAACTATGGTAGAAATATCCATGTGTAAAACATGTAGCCCAGCATGTACAAGACATTGAGATCTATCCCTAGCAATACACACACACACACACACACACACACACACACACACACACACAATTTTCATAAGATGTTTAGGGGACAATTTGGCAATATATTTCAAAAGTTGGTGTGTTCATACTTCTTGTCTATCAACACCAATTCTGAAAATTAATAGTAATATAAGAGTTTGCCAAATCACCATTTGCAATGGACAAAAATTGGAAATAATCAAAGTGACTATAAATAGAGGAAAGGTCAAATAAATTATGTTATCTCCAAGATTATAGTAGAACTTTAGATGGTCATGATCAAGAATGAGTTAATCAAGGCTGAGGATATACCTCAATAGTTGAATGTTTGCCTAGCATGTGTGAGACCCTGGGTTTGATCCTCAGTACCACAAAAAAGTGTTAATCTGTATGCATTGTAGGAAGAAACAAAAAAAAATACATGGTATATCTATTTAGCTCAAAAGAAAAAGCTTTTATTCTTATTTACACAGTTATGTAAATTTCCATGGTTTTAATGAAAAAATACATACTTTTATGGTTAAAACTGAGTGAACATGACCTTATAGACTTATATGTTAAACATGAAATTTTTAGGTGGAGAGGTAGTACTGTGGTTTTGTTCAGGGCCTCACATTTGCTAGCACTTGAGCAACTCTGCCAGATCCTAAACATGGTCACTCAAAATTCCACCATTAGATATTAGCTGCTTTTCAGTAAAATTTTAAAAATATGCTCACATATTTTACATGAGAAAATTTTATAGGTCACATTTATGCTGTGAAACAACTTATGTGGATTTCTTGGAAATTTCTTGGGTATGTTAGGGACAATCAGAAAATTATGCTCCAAGAGCATCCCAAAGTTGGAAGACTCCATAGAAGTTAATTTTGAAAGTTACCTATATGTCATGTACATGAATTCACACATTTGGAACATGAGAGGATCACAAATGTTCTTCACAGAAGGAGGAAGTGTTGAATAGGGAGGGGAAAGTCCAGCCAACCCAAAAAGATTCTCAGAAAGAGATCAATGACCTACAGGAAAAGAAGTATTGTTAGGTATCATTTGGGCTAGGAATAAAAACTCACAAATACCTGTCTTTCACAAAATGTCCATTGCATCTTATCCTTAATATATATCAGGGCCTATTTTAAATTCTTCAGTAATATTGCTATATTCCATTTCATTTTTGTAATGATAGGCATATACTTACAATCTCTATGTTATACATGAGGAAATGGGGCTCAGAAGAGTATAAATAACATACTCATGTTCAGTAAGTTGCACACAGGTACAAAGGGGAATCAGGTTCCAGGCTCCTCATGGCTGGGACTCAGTGCCTCTGGGTCTCTTGATGTTTGATGGGACTTATTCCCATCAAAAGAGAGTCAACAAACAGATGACCTTCTGTGTCCTATAAAAACTGAAAATGTTTGAAAGATAGTGGCGAATGGAAAAATATAAAATATTTGCCTCCTTGTCTCCTTTTTTTTCAGCTTCAATAAGGATCTTATATCCAAAAATGAAGAAATACAAATGTTAGGGAAGATGTAGAGAAATTAAAATCCTTATACATTGCTGGTGGGAATGGAAAATGAGTGTAGCTGATGTGGAAAGTTGTACAGTGATTCTTCAAAAATTTAAACATAGAATTACTATATGGTTCAATAACTGTACTTTTTGGATATATACCAAAAAAGAATTCAAAGAAGAGCAGGGCACTGTGTTGAGGATCATGATTCAAAGCCTGTCTGGCCAAATAGTTCTCAAGACCCTATCTCAAAAAATACCCAACACAAAAAAGGCTGCCAGGGTGGCTTAAGTGGTAGAGCACCTGCCTAGCAAGCTTGAGGCCCTGAATTCAAAATCCAGTATGGCAAAAAAGACAAAAAAAAAAAAAAGAATTCAAAGAAGGTTTTAGAATAGGTGGTTTGCTTATCTTTGTTCATGGGAATAGGCAAAATAGCTGAAAGGTGGAAATAATCTGCATGGCCAGAGAAAGATAAGTTAATAAACAAAAGGTGAGCCATACATATACCAAAGAAGAAAAGTTCTGGAGTCTTTACTCCCATTTCTTGTTTTGGGAACAGAAAATGCCACCCGCATATTTCTCCCTACTTTATCTATTTAAACTAAAATAAATCCTTGCAAAAACTTTTAAAACAAGAGGGAAAATTCTGATATATGCTACAATATGGATGAAACTAGAAGACATAAGCTTAGAGTAATGAACCAATCACAAAAATGCAAATACTGTATGATTCCACCTATACAAGTTAGTTACGGGATTCAACTTCCTGGAGACAGATTATAGAATGGTAGTTTTTAGGGACTGCGGAGAGGAAGACTAGAGGAGAGTGGGAACAGTTTTATTTGGGAAAGGTGGAGAAGTTCTAGAGGTTGATTTAAACAGTTAAATTTACTTTTTGCCACTGAAATGTATACTTCAAAATGGTTAAGATGGTAAATTTTATTTTATATTTATTTTACCATAGTAAAACTATGACATCAAAAAAAGAAGATACTTTTAGAAAGAGCCAAATTGTGTTTGATTTATAAAGGGCAGGACATGCTATGGTTTGACAACACAATAATTTCAGTTTCTATGTCACAAGTCAATCTTTTACTTTCTCCACACGCATTCAGTCATAACAGTTTATATGTAAAGGAAGATATGATGTTAGAGATAATGTTATCTAATCCTAGAAATTATCATTTACATTCAAAGTGACACACAGATGATTTTACCTAAAAATGCCAGCTGAAGATGTAATGATGATCTTTTATATCAAAATGAAGATGATTACAGGGATACCAGGGAAGTCTCAAGGATCTCAAAGCCTTCTCAGAAATATAAACGGTAATAACTGCCAGTTGTAACAGAAATAACTCAAAACATTCTTATGTCTCCGTGACTACCAGGGATGACTACTGAATTTTGACTGGATACATACTAAAACATATACATAGCTTATATTAATTATTCACTGGAAGTTTTTATTTTATCCCTGGCTTCTTCCTCTGTCTGCTTCCTTGGTACCAGGAGGTAAGCTGCTTTTTTCACCTTACCCTTCTGCCTGACATTTTTACCTTTAGGCCTAAAAACATTGAGCTACCATACTATGAAAGTGAAATTTCTGACACCATGACTTAAAATAAATCTCTCCTTTCTTAAGTTGTTTTTTCAGATATTGTCAAAAAAACAGAGTTTACTAACACAACTGACATATAACATTGGAAAATAGCTCTGAAATATTTGGAAAATAATGTTCAATCTCTCACTAATACAATCAATACATATTAAAATGGTAAAATGGTATTTTACCATTTCTCAATAATATTCATGTGTAATTCAGATGCTTAACAATATATTCATGTGAACTTGGAGTGAAAAAAGTAGAGCACCTCTATAGTAGCAGATTTAGCAATTAAAAAAAATACAGGAATGGGTTTATATCTCAAGTGATAAAGCACTTGTCTAGTGAGCACAAGTCCCAGTATTCAATCCCTGGCACTATAAAAAATTATAGATGCATTGAACTCTTCATAATCTGTACCAGGAATCTAAAGACATATGAGCAAAATAAAAAAGGTACCTGCAGTGTAACAGTCTACACATACGCATAAATCTAGTTGATGAAATACTGTGTAGTCATAAAAACAGTGACCACATCTCTAGACAGAAAGAGAGATGAAATAATGGTTGATCAATGGGTACCAATAGTTGGCAAAACTTCTAGTTTTCTTAGGTGCCCAAACTTCTAGTTGTGATATTGCAATGTGGTCACTACAGGTAATAATACATGTTAAAGAGCTAGAAGAAAGGATTTTGAAAGTTTTTACAATAATAAATGATTCTGTTTCACAAGATAGAAATGTTGAACCTAATTTGAACATTACACAATGTACACATATTACCTGGTATTAATATGTACATTTTTATGTATTAATTAAATTATATTTTTATAAAAGATCTCTACACACTATATAGAGTGATCTCTAGGAGTTTATTGCCAAGTGAAGCAAGGTGCCAAACGTAAATATACTAGCAGAACATTTTGTAAAAGATGGAATAAATATAAACATACATACACTTATATTTGCAAAAGAAAATAATGGGAAAAAATGAAAAAATTTTAACTACCTGGTTATAGGGGAAAATACAAATGGAATAGAACCAAGAAATTTATTCAGACTTTTTTTTGAGTAATCCTGTTTATATAATTTGGACTTTGAAATTCTTTAAATATTTTATATATTCAAAATAAATATATCAGAAAGACAAAAATCAGTCCCCAAAAAGTAGAAAACAAGCTAAAACTGATGTACAAAGTATGAAATATTGTTAGAATACAGTATTTTGAGTACTTATACCTAGTATAATAAATTCGAGAAACCAATGGAGCTTAAAAAAAGCTTGGGATGAGAGTGTAGCATGTGTAAGGACTTCTGTTCAATTTCCAGTACATATATGTAAGCATTCAATAGTACTTTGCCCAGTAGTCTTCTGGCTAATGATATTACTAATATTATTTTTAAAGTTTTATATGTTATTGAATAAAACAAACTTGTAAGTGTGTTAATATTGTTGAGTTTTAATCTGAAGGAAAGAAATGGGGCATACAAATTGTGATGGCTAATCATGTGATAGTTAATCTTGTCTGTTAACTTGGTGGAATTGAGAAGCACCTAAGAATAATATAGCAACTTCCAGAAGTATCTGTGAGTGCATTCCAGGGAGGATTAACTAAGGGGGAAGTCCTACCTGAATGTGGGTGGCAACATCCCATAGTCCAAGGACCTAGATGTAATAAAAAGGGAAAAAGGAAGATATAGACAGTGCAAACATCTTCTCTACTTCCTGACACCATGAGGTGAACTGCTGTGGTTAGCCATGCCCTCACCATCATAATAAACTGAAATCTCTGAAACCATGAGGAAGCAATCTTTCCTGACTTAAGTTGTTTTGTTTAAGTATTTTGTCACAATAATAAAAATCTAATTCACAGCTAAACAAAAATTCTAGAAGGTTAAGGTTGAATTGAAGATGATATTATAAAGATTATTTTATTGTCAAAAATGTGTATAGTTTTGTCCACTAGAAAGACCCAAATACAAGGACAATTCAGTAAAACATCACTTGGCCCAAACCGTGATTTCTAAAGTCCTTCTCCATATCCTGAGGTCACTGAAGAAATGACATGAAGGTCATGGGGTTGACATGTACAACATACATCTGGGAAATCTTATTGAGAAACATGTAAGTCTCCCAAACTAATGGGAACTATGAATGGGCATGAGGCTTCTGTTGACCTTGAAGTTTCTAATGGGGCGTTGATGAAACTCTCAGCATTATAAAGTGGTGATGTTGTAGGAAACCAGATATATTAAATTTTATGAGAATTTTATTTAATAAATAGTTATAAATATATGCTTAATTGAGGGAGTGTGTGTGTGTGTCTGTGCTGCTGAGGAACATATCCATGGCCTTGTGCATGCTACATACATGTTCTGCCACTGAGCTACTTCCTCACCCTACAGCAACAAAAGGCTATCATATCACTGCCACAATACAGATAATGAGGGTCATGTCTGTGAGATGATCCATGATCTTCGAGCTTTTAGAATTAGCTGTTCTCCTCAGTGTTTCTGCAGTACAATATCCTATACTATCAATATCAACTCACTTTTTAATTGTTTTTCTTGAAAGAAAGGCAAATAACTATAACATCAATTCCATTTTCATTAAAATTGCCATTTTTTCTAAATTTTAAACATAGATGCTTTAGCAAGTTGTATATGTGTTAATATTGTAAGTACAATTTTAACTGGTAAATTCAATGTGTTTAATAATTAAATTGGTGCTTGCTTAGCTTGCATGAGGCCTTGGCTTTGATCCACAGCATTGAAAAGAAGGCAAAGAGAAAGAAAGAAAGAGAGAGGGAGAGAGAGAGGGAGAGAAAGGAAGGGACAGAGGGAGAGAGAAAAGAGAGAGACAGAGAGATATAGAGAGAGAAAGAACGGAAGGAAGGAAGAAAGCCAATATTATGAGATGAGGGAGTTTTTCAACTGTACAAGGAAAAATATGTTTTTGAAAATTATTACTTATTTTCAATTCCATGAATATGTTCTAAGGAAATTGTGACCCTGTGCCTAATTTCATGCATATAGGTGCTATTCTAGGGAGAAATCTCATTAGGTTAAGAATCACTCAGTGGGAGAGCTATATTTGGTAGCTTCCCATAAAGGGTTTGCTCAATTGCGAGCATTGCAAAAGGGAAAAAAAATTACAGAAGGCCTTTGTTGAGGACTGGGATGTAGCTTAGTGATAGAGTGCTTAGCCTAACATCCACAAATGGGTTGTATGCCCAGGACCAAATAAAATGAGCTCTGTTTATGAGTTGGGCATGGTGTATAAGGCTGTAATTCCAGTACTGGGGAGGCTGAGGCAGGTTGATAGACTTTTCAAGATCTGCTTGGGCAATGCAGTGTCTAAATTAAAAAAAAAAAATCAAACCCTACTTGTAGGATAAGTAAATATGCTTTAATAATGTAAACTTCTCAACTTAATATGTAATTGTTGATTGTGTTGTTAATATGTCCTTCCTTTATCACTTTGTTCTTTAGGAAAATAAATTTCTTAGAGGAGTTTCATTGATAATTGTTTGAGGTAAATTGTATCTTATAATGAACTTCAATAACTTTTTTCTTAAAGCTAAGCATGGAGAAGCATGACTGTAATTCCTGTGACTCAGAAGGTGAAGGCAGGTTGATTGCATGTTTCAGGGCAACCCTGGAAAAATTAGGGAGATGGTATCAGAAAAAAAGTAAATACTAAAAGTCTGGGGCTGGGTCTTAAGTGGAAGAGCACTTACTTAGTAAGCCCTGGGTTCAATTCTTTTTCTGCAAACACAAAACCATATTTTTTAAAATATTGAAAAACTACCAGTGGGGGCCCAGGTTTAGTGGCTCACACTTTAAGTCCAACTACACAGGATGCAAAGATCAGGAGGATTGTGGTTCCAAGCCAGCCCAGGCAAAAAGTAAGTAAGGCACAGTCCAAAACAAAACAAAAAAACAAACCAATGGACATATTCCTGTGGCTGCACTGCCAAGATGGAACAAATTAGATAATAAAAAAGAATAATGAATGTAATTGAGTGAATATACAAAAATCCACAAGTTATTGTTAAAAATATTCACGAGGCAGTCAGGTAAATTTGGGCTTTGGATATTTGGTTATATTGGAGATAATTTTGATATGATAGTGGCAATGTGGCTTATAAGGTTGTGGGAGGAAAGATTTTTTTTGGCAGTACTAAGATTTGAATCCCAGTGCTTGCTAGGCAGGCCCTTCACAACTTCAGTTGGCTGTCCCTAACCCATTTTGCCATAGTTATTTTTTCTGAAAAGGTACATCTGTTTGCCCAGGGCTGCCCTTGGACAATGATGCTTGTAGCTAGGGATTACAGGTGTATATCACTGCACCTATCTTGGTCCTAATCTTTTCAAAATGCATAATAAGCCTTTTGCTACAACCACCATGGCTAAAGCTAACCTATGACTGTGGGCCTCTTCTGAAGGGCTGTAAGTGATCATGAATACAAGTGAGTTGTTTTTTAAGATACAAAATATAGTCATGCGAAGAATGTACATGTTTCATAGAACAATAATTGATTCAACTGGAGTTTGCTTTAAAATAGGAATATAAAAAAGTTGATTAAGGAAGGAATCAACAGATTCCTTCCTTAATCAGAAGGAATTCCTTCCTTAATCAGATCTGAAGGAATGACAGATAAAACTAATATAGCGAAATCTTGAGAATTATTGAGTCTTGTAATGGATATGTCAGGAGTCTTGGTAATTTTTTTACTTTTGCACATTTTCAAAAACCATAGATTAGAGAAATGCTATCATGACATGGGAAATAAGTTCAACTTGTTTTTAGCATCAGTAGCAGAGGGAGATGTGATAGGTTAATGTACTTTGACACTTTCATTTATTTACTAGGTTTATTGAATTATTTCATTTAGCCAGAAACAATTAAAACTCATATCCCATATGACCGACTTGCAGGTGGGAAATTTTTTTTAAATGGAAGTCAACTAATGATCAATAAAAAAATTCAGACACAAAAGATAATGGAACAAATCAGCTGGGCACTTTCTGTACCAGGCCACATTGGCCATAGTTGTGAGTCATTGAAAATATTTGATAGAACACCTTAGTAATAATTCCCATAAGTCCCTTAGATTTGAATTTTGGATTTTAAAGCCAATGCTACCTGAATGTTGGTTTTCAAACATCAGGATGCACTTGGATGTCTGGTGGAATACTGTAAGAAAGGAAAGACATGCCACTTAGCAAGAACAAGAAGGCAGCTAGAGTTGCCACTAGAATAGCACTTCCAATTTCCTGAGTATTTGGCTTAAAGGGCACATGGAAAGATAGTGGGAAGTCAATCCCCTCCATGTTTGTGATGGCATAGTAATTCCAGAGTACAGCAAGTGAGATACAGCCACTAGCAATGATATTCAGAATTCCTGAAATGATGAATGGATTGCAGGTGACGTTTTTCTGAAGGATTCCCATATATACATTCCTAAGTGCAAAGATGACAAAGGCTTTCCCAAAGAGCCCAAGGAAGTTGGCAGCCATCAGCAGGTGTTGACCAACACGAATGTCAGGAGGGAAGAAGGTATCATTGTAGGTGTGTTGGTGACACATTTTGACTTTGCTGGAGTTGCTGTTATGGCGATAAATACAAACTCTCCACATTCCAACCATGGCCATGCCAGAGAATGAGAGTGAAGGGTCATCCATATACCAAACTCTCCACTCCACGAGGCCCATGGAAGTGCTGGAAAGAATCCATGCCATGGTGGTTACAGCAAAACCTAGTACTTGGCAATTGGCTCTATTGACGAGCAAGATCATGGTGGCAGCATACACTGGATAACTGCAAACAAACACAGGGCATCATAAGGGTGGGATCCTTGGCCTTGGGAAGCCCTCATGGGGAGTAGTACCAGTAGGAAAGGGCTATGTTGGTTCCTCCCTCCCTCCCTCTTTCCCTCCCTCCATCCCTCCCTTCCTCCTTTCCTTCCTTCCCTCCCTTCCTCTAACCTTGTGTTGTTATGGTGTCAGGATAATACTGGCTTCATAGAATGAGTATTCTAGCATCCTTTAAAGGTTTAATAGAATTCAGCAACGAATACAGCCGGTCCTTACATTTTTTTGTTGGGAGATTATTACTGAATCAAATTTATGGATTGTTATATTATTTTTATTACCTTGATTCAATTTTCTTAGGTCATATGCATTAGAAATGTATGAGAGTCTCTCAGATTTTCCAATTTATTAGAATATAAGTTTTCAAAATATTTTCTCATGATCTTCTGAATTTGGTGTTTGTTGTTGTGTCCTCTTTTTTATCTTTGATTTTATTAATAAGGATCTGTCACTCTTTATTTTGGTTAGCTTAGCTAAGGGGTGGTCAATCTTGTTTATCTTTCCAAAAAACCAACTTTTTGTTTTATTGGTTCTTTGTATTACTTTTTGGCTCCATTAATTAATTTATTCTCTTAAATTTATTATTTCTTTCTGCCTGTTGCTTTTAGGTTTAGCTTGGTTTTGTTTCTCTAAGAGCTTGAGGTGTATCAGTAAGTTATGTATTTGGAATCTGATTGAAGGCATTCATAGCTATAAACTTCCCCTTAATACTGCCTTTTCTATGTCCCAAAGATTCTGTTGTGATTTCACTTTTGATTCTAAGAATTTTTAAATTTTCTCCCTTATTTTTTAAATAAGATCATTCAAGACATTCAGTTCCATATATTTGAATATTTTCTGTATTTTCTCTTGTTATTGATGTAGAGTTTTATTTCATTGTGATCTGATAAAATAAAAGGATTTATTTCATTTTTCTTTGCTTTGGTAAGACTTGCTTTATGTCCTGAGATATTATTTACTTTGGAGAAAGTTCCATGGGCTGCTGAGAAAAATGTGTATTTGGAGTTGTTGAGAAAAATGTGTATTTGGGTGGAATATTTGGTAGATCTGTAGATGTCTGTTATATTCTTTAGAGCTACTATGTCATTTAATTCTTAAGTCCACCCCTCCCCCCCCGCTTTTTTTTTGTCTGGATGATTTACCTCTTTGCTAGTGAGGTGTGTTTCTTGTGGGTCACAATGGTTGGGTTTTCATTTTTTAATCCCACCTGCCTGTCTATCTTTTGATTGGAAAACTGAGAACATTAACATTCAGAATTATTATTGAAAGTTATGTAGTAATTCCTGACATTTTATTGGTTTCGTAATTTTTTGTTTTTCCTTACTTAGTTGCTTATGATTAGTGAGATTTCTTGCTTCCCATATTTTCATGGCTATGTTTATCTTCCTCTTATGTGTATAGGATCCTTTAGATATTTTCTGCTACAACACTTTTGTTTTAGTGGTCAGGAATTACTTTGGGTTTTATTTATCATGGAAACTTTGTTTTCCTTCAATTATGAGGATAGTTTTGCTGGGAACCTAGTAACCTAAAATTTCAGTTATTTTCTTTCAAGGCATAGACTGTATCACTTCATGCCCTGCTGTTAAAAGTTTCTGTTGAGAATCTGCTGTTAGTCTGCTGGAACTTCTCTCTTGCAGCTTTCAATATTCTTTCCTTGTTTTGTATACCTAATATTTTGCACATAATATGACATTGGGAGGTTCTTTTCTGGTCTTGACTGTTTGGAGTCCTAAAAGCCTCCTATATCTGGATAACCATCTCTCAAAATAGTTAAGTTTTCTACTGTTACTTTATGTATGTCTCTAAGCCATTAGCTTGTGCCTTATCTCCTTCTATGGCAATGATTAATAGATTTCTTCTTTTATAGTGTCCCATAGCTTTTCCGTGTTCTGTTTGTACTTTAGTGTTTTTTTTTTAAAGAAAACCTTATCTCTATTTGTATGTTGTAAAATTTCTTTTTTTCGAGGTTTTAAATATCTATTGCAGTAAATAATCTTATTTACATTGATGCAGAATCATTTTATATTCTTAAGTCAGACACTAATAAATGCTTTACTTTTGTAAATTGAAAAGGAATATAAAAAGGAACTACTAAGAAATATTATTCATTAACCTGTCTTATGCTAGCTCAAGGACCCTGAAACACATGGACACTGCAACATGCAGTGGGAGGCTGGGGATGGGCCATTTGCTCTGGTGCACAGTGAGGAGCCTTCACCAGCTTACACTGTGCTTTTCTCACTTAAACATTAACACAGGAAAAGACAATGATTCTTAGCATTGAGCAATCTAAACACACTTTGAAAAAAATAGATGTCAACAGTGTAAGTAGGGAGAACAAAGCCCTCAGTTGGAGCAGCTCTGGGACCCCTACCAGCTGGCCTGGATATGGTAGCAATAGCTCAACAGAAGGGCAGAAGTCCTGCCACACCAGGCTGCTACAGCAGAACTCAGCAGACAGACTAGTAGCCATCTCAGGTGGGATAAGAAGGGCTGTATACCCTTCAGGTGTGCCTCTGTAGGCACAGTTGTTTGGTACATTGAGGAATTAAAAACAAACTCCAAAAGGAGCAACTGAGGCCTAAGCAGAGACTCCTCAGGGGAGGATGATGCTGGAGGGGTTTGTAGCTTCTGGCTTCTAAAGATGATCTGTCAGGAAGGACTTATTCTGGAGTCTCTGGAGTTTTACTGTGAGGAAAATTAATCACCTCACAACTTGGTGCAGCTTAAGGCTTCATTTTTAAGCTGTAAGCATGGCCTTTAATTATTTAACTAAGATCTCCACCATATTTAATTCCAAATTAGGGTTTAGCACTGCAAGGAAAGTCCAAGTGTCTTACCCTGCCTAAAACAGACTAGGTTAAGTTATCTACCTGAGGACAGGAAACTTCCACCACCTTTGGGTGCTACATTTGACTACCCATGACTGTCCACTGTGACCTTTCTCCATGTAGAGGTGTTGTCACATGGTTTTGCTATTGTCAAGCAGTCAGAGGCTTCTATAGGCAGAGGTTCAGTGCTGCTGCTTCGAGATTCTCCTGTCTTGAGGTCCTGGCCACAAGGAAAGGCTGCTGCTCTTGGCCTAGTTTCCAGTGGATCATTTTCCAGTGCTTGTTTAGATGACACCATTCATGTACCCTCCATGTCAGTTTCATTCTCAGCATAACTCAGAATCAGGCTCTGTTGCAGGCTGGTTAGCCTCTTTGGAACTCTGCTCTTGACATGAATGTAGTGGTCATTGTAGCCATAGCTGTTAATCCTGGGAATGCCTTTCCCATTAAATTGAATCTTCTGGTCTGTTTGAATGCCAGGTGGGATTGTCACATTGATTGTCTCATACAGGCCCTGGGCTCTTGCTGTCCCCCCAAGAATAGCCTGAACTACAGAAATAAAACAGATCAGAGTGTATGGCTGTACTGTTCCTCTGCAACACAGGGCTTTTCTGAACCCTGAATGTGATGAAAATTTCTCTTTTTCCCACAAGCATCCTCACAACCACCCTGTGCCTCAACTCCTGCAGGCACAGGGATCACTACTCATTTCTTCTGCTTGGCTTGTCCTGCTCCTCTGCAGATCATACAAGGATTTGTTATGATGGAGCCTTGGCCACCACATCTCCGACACGTGGAGCGCATCACAAAAGGACCCATGTTGATGGTTTCCATGCTGGAGCCACCTCAGTAGTGACAGTGTTGCACCTTGGTGCCAGGCTCACTCCCCTTGACATCGCAGCATTCGCAGGTATCCATGATATTCAGTGAACTCCTTGTTGATGCCCTTGGCAGCTTGGTTGACTGTTGACTCCATGATATATTCCTGAGGCTGATCAAACACACTCTGGAAATCACCAAAGGAATATGATGAGAACTCCCTAAAGGTCTTCCTGATAGCTCCTCAGGGTCAACAGAGGGGCTTCTACTCCAGTAGCTCTGCCCAGAGCTGCTGGCCCCATGATGAAAGCCAGCAGAGCCATAGGCATCATATTGCTTCCTCTTCACTTTATCACTGAATACCTCATAGGCTTCTGCCAGCTGGGGGGTGGGGTGGGGATGAGGGTTGGGGGAGAGGGGATCCCCACAGCCACCAACAAACAGCATGTGGAATACATCACCACCATCTAGGCCCAGGGACCCTAAAATTTCTTTCTTATTATCAGTGATTGATATTCTGTTTTCAGTTTGATCCATTCTATTGGAGAGAATTTCAAATGAGATTTTTATTTGACTTATTGAACTCTTCATTTCCAGAATTTTAATTTCATTTTCTTCAGATTTTCTATATCTTTATTGAATTTGTGTTTCATGACCTGTATTGTCTCATATCATTCAACTGTGAGTTTTCTTGAACACATTCAAGCATTTATTCATGTCATCTTTAAATTCCTGATCATTCTTACAATCATTTTAAAAATTCTTTGTCTCAGATTTCATCCACTTCACTATCATTGATGTTTGTTACTGTGGAGCAAAGTTTGGAGGAGTACTGGTGCCTTGCTTTTTTCCCATTTTTGATGTTTCTGCATTGGGATTTGCACATCAGAGTCCAAGTCATTGGTTGGAAGTTTTACTCTTCTGCAGTGTCTCAGTTGAAATAGACTCAGTGTTCATGTAGGGCAGTATAGTGACTATGTTGAGGTGTTATTTTCCCTCACTGTATGGGTCCTTTTGTAAAATGGTTGGTTGTCTGCTTCTTTCACCATAGTGTACTGGGAACTACTTCTTGCTTCAGGGAGCTGGAGGCTGGGCAGATTTCCACTTGTTCAACAAGCCACACAATTTGTGTCCCTAGGGCATCCAGCATCCTGGCCTATGTGACCCTAGAATGCATCAGTGTATGGCAAACACAGCACTGAGTTTTGTACTGATAAGGCAGAACTGAAGGACCTTTGTACTCTGTCTCAATGCTTAAAGACTCTGTCCAACTGTGTGTCTCCTTCT